GGCAAGAGCATTTTCTCAAATGGCTTTTCCAGAAAATGCCCTCTTCAAAGCCTTTTATCTGTACATTTTATTAAATTTCCAATCCTGGAATACTGCTTTGAGACTCGAAACTGTGTTGGGTTTCTTTTCCTTTCTGAGATTTCCCGTGAGTTTTTACAAATTGCAATACTAAAATCTTAAAGGAAGAAAAATGGGGTGTGTGTGTCATGGAAAATGCTTAGTAATAAAATCACATACATGTACCCAAACCACATCCACGGTCGCTGAGTCTATACCAACTCACGATGATCCTATAGGACAAAGTAGAACTGCTCCTTAACGTTTCTGAGATTGTAACTATTCACAGGAGCAGACCTGCATAGAGGCATGCATTTCATGGGGAACTGTAAATGAGTACTAAAAAGTAATCTGAATAGGGTAAAAGTCTCAACTTGAAGGGCAGTGTAAAATAACTCTTCCGTCTTCAGTCTTCTATCCATGCTTGCAATTCTCTGTTCCTCCTCCCCAGAGAAACCACTGTTGCCAATTTCTTGTTCATACGTCCATAAATCTTATTAAAATGGAATTCCATTATGGAAACAGAGAGGAAATGAACTGGTTATCAAGAGTGATAAAACTATGTATCAGTGGGGATGGTATTAATTTGATGTGTATTAAAAATGACATTAAGCCTTTTTATTTGGCCCAGAGTAGACATTAAGATGGAGTGGATTCCAACATGAAGTCAAACTGCCCTTAGGGTTTCCAAGGTTGTAAATCTTTACTGCAGCTAACTGCCATTTCTTCTGTGAAGATCAGATACAGTGCTAAAAATCTTTAAACTTATTCAGTGGAAAGCAGACTACTGAACTATTACCCACTCCCCAACCTCTATCTATACTGGTGGTTATACCTTTGTTGAATTATCCTTCAGTTTGGAACTCTTCATGACATAAAGGATGAATTTTTCTCCATCTAGTGTGATGTATATTTGAAAACTATGTACACTCATGTTGATATGGCTTTATATACAATCTTTAATGGTGAGGGAGGAATATGGAGGCCAAGTTTAATGTATTTGGTCTCATATCTTAGTTCTAGGCCTTTGTTTTGTTGTCAATTTTGTTTTGTTGTCAATTAGCCAAAATGCTTCCCCTTCCCCACTGAGTTAAATAAAGGAATTGAACTCCCTGGTTTCTAAGGATCCTTCTTTCTGACTCCAAAACTCTGGTTAAAATAGTTCTGTAGGTGTCCTAAGATTGACTAAGGATAGCCCAGTTGGATCTAAGAGTATTAGACAATGGCATGACAAAAAAATTCCTGAATGATAGATTTATAAAGAAGTTAGAAAAACGTAAGCTATCTTCCTGCTCTTATGAGTTAGATCTTATTGGAGAAAGACCACTTCACTTTCCCACAAAATGTCTTTATGTTGCTTATTGAGGCCAAATGCGGGCCTGAAAAGGCCTCTGTATGGCTAAGGAGCTGGTTTTCTTCACAATTCATGTTGTTAACTTTCAGGGGAAATCACTCTTATTAACATGGAACTAAAGTTCAGCTATCTACTTTAAAGGAACTGAACATAATTTAATTCATAAATTTCATAGATACTTAGATTATGACTATATGCCTTTCTGTCAAGAGATTTTAGTTACTATGCAAGTATTCACTGGAAGATCATGTTCTTAGCAGGAAGCTTTTCTAATCTCTAAAACACCTGCAACCTCTGGCTAATTGCTCCTGGAAGGGTGTTGGGCGCTGAAGAGTGACTGCAAGGCTGTGAGACTAAAGAGTTAGCCAAAGTTGATTTTTGTCACTGTGTTGAATCCCAAGGAGTTTCCAAAGTGCAACCTCAAGGGGTGGTTGCAGAAATCATTGATGTTGAGATGAAGATCTCATACTTATTGCTTTAGAGCCGCCGATTGAGAATATTAGACAATTATCTTTAATGTTTATAGGACAAATAAATTGTAGTGAAGTTTTAGGAACTTTTGGATTGAGTTGCTAAGAATTTGAACAAAACCCACAAGATTAATAAGGCGTCTACAGTCACTTTCATGGACAAAGCTGACAAAAACAAAAGATACCAGTAGCATAATTTTTCTAGAATGTTAACAGTTCTGTTTCTCACCCCTTCCAGTTTTGCCAGATGAATATATATATTTACAGATGTCTTATATGTATTTTGATTTTTTCCTTAACATTTTCTATAGTTTGTGTCCAATTTTCAGTTTTTATAATAATTTATTCATTTAGTGCCCTATAATTTTCTTAGTTTTCCAGTAGTTAAAAATATATAATTCTCATGAATATAATTGATTCCTTTTTTTTTTTAAGGTTTCCTTGGAATTATTTCTTTAGAGAGGTAGATTAGTGAAGTTGTTAATGTGTGGGCTTGAAAACCTTGGGACTTTAATGTTCTAATCCGTAAAATGGGTGTAGTAATTAATAGCTCTCTACAAAGTTAAGATATAAAGCAATAACATGAAAACATGTATAAATGTTCTCTGAAAACACATAAATATTACTTTTTATTTTTTACTAGGAATTTCCCATTTTATGGTCATTTCCAATTTTTCCCCCCAAAAGGTTATATAAATGTATAATGCTACTTCAAAACATTTGTTAGTGTTACTGATATGACAAGTGTGAAATTATATCCTGTTGTTTTGGTTTACATTCCTTTACTTTTGTGCAAATAAGAGACTTTGTTTGGGGGGGGGGTTGCCCTAGAGGCGCTGTTTGGCAACTATTGGACTGCTAACCAGAAGGTTGGCAGTTCAAAACCATCAGCTACTCAGAGGGAGAAGGGTGAGGCTGTCTGTTCTTGTAAACATTTACAGCCTTTGAAACCTTGTTTTGGGTCACTGTGAGTGAAAATAGACTCAATGGCAGTGGATTTATGGTTTGGGTTCTCAATAGAGTGGGAGAAGCTTTATGACTTCAGGCATTTTGAGCTTGACTCCTTGACAGGCATATAGTAGAAGAGTTACAACAACATTGGTGAAGAGTAAGCCAAATTTCCCAATAGGTCCTTTTGAATTAATCTTCATTTTCTCATATTTAAAATAATTTTAAATGATCATAACAAAGTAGCTACTAAACTTAATAAAGCTTAACATTGTATCTAAATTTCATCTAAATGAAAATGTAGTCTTCCCTACCCCTCCTGCTCCCCTTTGGACTGGTTTTGAGTTACCATTATTGTGATCACAATCTGGTAGGACTTTAGTAGTAGTGTGGAGGGGAAAGAGAGAAAGTTATCTTTTGGCTACAGATGGATAATGGAGTTATGCCTGCAGATTGAGCTCGTACATAGTCAAGATAGTTTAGACTACACAAAAACATGCCCTTGTAAGTTCTGGAGCTCCAGCAGTCCTGATATTTCTGACAAACACACACCCAACATGGATCACAGCAGCTCTTTATGTTGCTGAGCCCCAGGAGGGCTCCCTATTGTGTACACTGCCCTCCCTCCCATTCTTGACCGACTGATGATAGCAGCTCCTCCAAGTCCAGATGTAAAGCTCCCACCGAGAAGCCTCTCCTCTTTTACCCAATCCTGAATTTACTCCTATCACCCACCCCTTAGGGATATTTGCTTTTGTTCTGTCTACTCTATTGAGATTGCACTATGTTTTCAAGGTTGTGGTTTCAGTTTGTACCTCTCTGCTCATATGGATCTTATTAACAGTTTCTACAGCGGTGACTGTAGTCATGCTTAGCACACAAACGACAAATGTTTGTTGCTGTGAGCCCTATCTTGTATTGTCTCCCTGCTCCCGTGGGCATGGCTCTGTTCTACGGCACCAGTGTTCAGAACTGAGTTCCACATGTGTCTTGGTTGTGTTTGCCTACAAGGTTAGGAGCAGGGAAACCTGTTTGTTCTGTTTGTTTTTTTCTAATTTATTGTGTGCTTTAGGGGAGTTTCCTAGCCCCTGGGCCTTACTTTTCTTCTGTAAAATAGGGTTAATAATTTGAGTTACCATTCTAATTACTAACCTTCTGTTGTGAAAGTATAATGACATGGCAAATGTGGGGGTTTTTTGTGGTGGGGTGAGGTAAAAGATTCCATAAATTCATATTATGTTATCAAAATTATGTGTTATCACCCCTCTCCAGGAGGTGTTTACATCTTTGAGGAAACCTCATCTCCCTGCTGTGTAGCACCTGGAGCTAAGATGTACTTAGATATACATTCCTGGGGCCCATTCCAGCTTACTGAATCAGATATTCTAGAGGTGGGGCAAACCAGTCTGTATCCTAACAACGTTTGTGAGGCTGAACAACATTTGTGAGGCTGAATGACGGCTCCAGGGAGTAAGAACTTCAGCACCATGGGGTAATTTCATAAAACCACTTTTGTATCCTAAACATAAACTACAAGTTAGCTGGACGTATGCCTTTTAACCTTTCAAATTTTAATGTAGGGCCGGAGTTGTAAACTCA